ATTGTATATAATTTGTAAGTAATCCTTGTTTAGGGCGGGTAATATACAAAATTAGGATAATTTTGGTAAATGAGTTTCAAATATTGTATAGGAAGAAAAAAATCCAATTAGAATTTGCCCAAACTATGCCCACCCCTGCCGCTCGCCCAACTACTTAAATTCTGACATTATTTTGGCCCATTAGAAATTCAAACTTGAGAACATAGAAATGTTTACTTAAGATTTTCACAAAGGAAAAAATACAACCTTGAGAATATTTAGTTATCAGTTATCCACTTACCCTTGCTCTGGAGATCAAGATTTGCATTTCCAATTAATTAATCAAGTCCGTTGAAGTAGAAACAAATACGTTCCCACTGTTGATTTACATTAAGGAAAAGATATATGAATGTGAAAGGAAAACGAAAAAGAAAAAAAGGAACAAATACACGTGGTAATCGACGATATACACATGATTTCCTTCCTCTAACTTCACTGCTTTTTCTCCGAACTTTGAATAGCCAAAACTGGTTTTCGTTTTGGAACAATCAACGTGGTAACTGCAAGTGATACTTCACAAAATTGTTGGAAACACAGACTTAACAACCTGGGGCTGATATCAAGATCTCTATCCCCGTCCAAGAATCGGATTCTACTAGTACTTCAGTTCCACATTGATCCTTTTAACTTTCTAGCATTCTCTATTGCCGTGTGTTATCTGGCCTTTTACCATATTGATCTGTCTCAAAATGAAGCAGTTCAGCTACAGATTCAACATTCATAGTTATTCTAAAATTTAGGGAGGGAAGGAAAGGCGGGTGTGAAGCTGTTAGCAAATGGGATAACGAACTTACTCATTAATGAGGGATCTGAAGAAGAATAAAGGAAATGCTGTATAAGCACACAGAAATAGCGACACCAGCGATAAAGTTGTGGAGCAGCTTCTGATTGTCTCTTGTGGGTACGAAAATGGATTTGAGTGTGTTGGTTAGTTCAAAAAGGCGGCAGGATATCTGCAATAAGCAAGCAATGCTGAGATAGAGCCCAGGAGGAGAAGCAGATGGTTTACAACTCAAAATTGAAAGAGTATATATGTTTACCAAGACATAAATTGCTGTAGTCAGCATGAAGTTTAGCATAGGATAGCCCGGGATAAAGCAAAGGAGCCATTTAGGCTGTCCATTCGGCATATTTGATCTGTACAAAAAAGTCATAAAGTAATAAGACCACAAAGTTCATTATTTTGGCCGACGTCCATCAAAAATTCACTAACGGTTGCTAGAACGAAGGAAAGTAGGTTTCAGTTGGATGGATGAGGACGCTAAACAAACATTAGTTTGAAATTTATGATCAGTATCAGATTACTAACAGGTGAAGATCAAGAATTTTATTCCCTTCTTTCACTCACAGATGCCAACATTGAAGAGCACAGTAAATACAAGTTTCAACCAAATCGGAAAACATTCAAGGTTTGGTGATGTTATCATATATATTAATATAAATTTCATTTGTACATGATTGTGTTACTAAAAAAGTTGTTGCCGTTTGGCCAGGAGGCTTCGGGTCCAAGCTGTTGAAACAAACCTTGCAGAAATGCAAAGTTAGGTTGCATATAATAAACCAAATGTGGTCCGACCTTTCCCTGAACCCCGCGGATAGTGGGACCTCACTGCGCATCCCTTTTAATGGTACGGGATGGCATATCAATAGGTCAAGGTTAAACCCGAGGGAGCAATTATTAACCTTAAAAAAAATCAACATACCTCAGCCAGATATGGAACTGCGAGATATAGGTTTCTAAGGTAATTTTGCCAAGCCACCTGCAATGATAGACCACAGTTAAACAAGGAGAAAGAAATGCAGTTTCAACTATATTTAAAAGAGCAAATAAATATTCAGATTTTGTAGAGCTTGATCATTCGTATTAGAACTAAGCAAAGGAAGTTACAAAAGCCGCAAAAGGGAAAGGGAGGATGAGGCAAGGACAAATGACAGGAAAGGAAGGCATGACGCCCTGTGATTATAAGGCACCGCCTACAGGTTTAGAAAACTTACGCTAGGAGTGTCAAAGAGAAATTCCGCAGCTCCTGAGTGAAATTACGCAAGCAGATGTAAACACTGCGAGGCAAATAAAGAAAATGAGAAAAGTAATACAAGATATTGAAGACAAACTTTGGTTGAGTACATTTTAGGCAAGCACAGAGTTTTTTAACTGTTAGTTCTTCATACAATCAAACAAACGGCAGTAATTTACATTAGTTTAAGTTTCATGCAAAATGAAGGGCTAAGGAGAATTAGAAGAATTTAATACATACGTAATGGGAATCCACGATGTGTAGGGGTGGAGATTGTTGTAAGCTACCTTGTCCAGCTTGTATATGTATTCAAACCACAAGTACCCAATCTAAGGAAGAAAATGCCCCAAATGACAAACTTCACAAATTAGAAAGATAATCTGCAATGCCTATTTTTTAACTAATTTGATGAACATAAATTCTCACGATTAAAGATACTGCACAGATGGATGTCTTGATTGCCCGTCTCCGCTTTGGTTCAGACTCCTCCAGTTTCTCCATCCACTTCTCAACCTAAAAGGATAAGATACTGCAAACTTCAGTCAAATGGAAGAGTGAAAGAAAATTGGGACGAAGAACTAAGAATTAAAGTTCTTTTGACATTACATTTGGGTGAAAATAGGCATATATCATGCCAATAATCCATATATAGCGGTCAAGCCCAGATCTAAAATGCCATTCATGCAATCGGGGGAGATCTGGCTTGGCTGGATCAGTATAGCCTACAATTGTGAAAAGAAGAAAACACATCAGATGACAATGCTTAAGCAGCATGTATAAAATAAAAACAAAACACAGGAAACCTTTTCGAAAAAGTTCTTTACAATTCATGCTACCACAATAGGATACCAAGATACTTTCTGTTACAACAACAATACATGAACCTAAATTAAGCAACCTTTGAGTGTTGACAATGGTCAACATTTAGTTCCATATCAACTTCCGAATTATTTACCACAAAGTCTTAGTTTCAAAACCTTCTGATGACAAAACCTGAAAACCAGTATATAATATTTCCTCGGAGTAGGGGGAAATGTTCATATCAACATAGTTGAACTAACTTTGAGACACGCTAACAGTTTCCCAGCACAGAGTATTTGAGAGCTTATAGTAATTGTAGACAGAAACAAAATGTATGAGAATACAGAGTAACCAACCTAACATAAAGGTGAAAGGACTCCAAACAAATTCGAATACTCCAGGGATCTCCCAAACCAAGATAACCACAACAAAGCACATAAGAAACTTCACAGCCATTACTGATCTTATCTCGTTGTACTTGTGGCCAATGCCAAGGGCCCCATAAACCATCAGGGTGAAAAGCGTGTGCATCGGGCAGATGTAATACAGCATGTAGTCATTGTTGAGAACAATACAACAGAAGATTACAAAAAAATTCAGCCTCCACATCATCTGCATAAATGATAAAATTTTCATTGCTAATAATGCACAGAGAAAATGGATATGCGAGACTAACTGAAGTCTTCCGATATCAAACAGTGATAAAGTACAACACAAACCCAATGTTACCTGAGCAAACCGAGCTAGGCTAAAATCCTTTCTTATGTAATAATAGGAGAAGTTCCCAAAACCAGTCATCCATACGTATGCGGCAATAAAAATACGAATTGCATTGTATATCTCTATTGCAGCAAAATAATGATAAATCAAAAAGAGAACCTGTTGCAGAAAAAGGATAGAGTGAGTCAATATAGAAAGAGCACAAATAATCTCTACAGTAAGTGTATCAGTGTTTAAATGAGATTTTGAGATGCTTCCTCTTTTCAGGAGGTGCAGTTTTGAGATACATCAAGTGACGAATGTTACACATCGCAAAAGAAGTTGCATGATTCATTCACACTACATATTAACACACCTTTACTTGAGGTAGTAAAACAAACATGCAGCTACACTTGTGCACAAGATTACTAGAAAAAAAGAGATCACAAAAAAAGTATTGCCAAAAGAATCCATATAGGCCCAGAGTTACGTCATAACTAAAATGACGCATGAACAGGTGAAGGGAATGCAACAGAAAAAACTTGCCTGCATCCATCCTTTCCACTCCTCTGTCTGATGGCGATTAAGATAGAGTATCGCTTTGCCAGAAAATGCTGATTTGTCATTATGTTTCTTGAGAGAAGTCATTGCCGAAACTATGATCAGAAGAACATACAGAAAGATGAAGAGATCGCGATTGTAGCTCTGTCCAAAGAAAACATCACACAGAAACCTTTTACTGATTGCTGGTCTCAAGGATATGTGAGTATAACAAAATCTTAAACATCTCAGCAATGAGGTTGGCGCACAACCTAAAAATACAATTGCAGCAACATGGAAATATTTGAAGATCATGTCCATAGAATTAGTCCACTATCAGAGTTCATATTTACTCCTCTATACCCACAATCAATACATAATTAAGGGGAAGGGGGTAACAGAAGGTAGCAGTTCATCCAGAATGAACTGAGTACTTGCTCGAAAAGAATTTAAACTGGGTAAAACATGAAATTTTTGAAGCAGTTACAGTTTTGCAACAGGAACAATCATCAGCTTCGAGAATCAGATAATCCAATGCTATGAAAAGGAATAAGGTTTAGACACAATCATGCTTATCATATGCTAGTGTATTCTTTCAATTATTTACAGCAAAGTTTGTTATACATGACCTACACTTATAGAATTATGTAATGGAAGTTGCAATTCCAACAGTTCAATCAAGATAACAAGGTTCAGGAGTTCATAATGCACAAAGAAGAATCTGAAATAACACACCATTTTGTCTGAACTGGGTTAACGTATATTTCATATGAATATGCAAGCCCGTGGTTACTTGATGTGCACCTCCAAGTGACTGTATGTGCTTATCCAGTGAGATGATTCGATAGTTGTTGTGGTGCAAACAAAACTTACAATTAAGGATAGATATTACACAGCACAACCTTAGCAAATCAAATTTTATACATAGTTTCAGGAATAGAAGATCACACACCTTAGTAGAATCTGCAAAGAGATTTGTACGGTCACATATATAGTAATAGAACAGGATTCCCCCAAATTCAGACCTGTATGAGATCATAAAAGAGAAATATTAGATTTAGAAAGAAACTGTATGCCACCATAATCAAAATATCCAAGTGACTCACATTGCTCTCAGAGTTGCTCGATTTTCTAGCAAAAATGCATCCTCCATCGTAAGAAACCTACAAAATAGGTGGAAAATGTTAAGGAAACATTGATCACGGTAGAAAGAAGAAATGTTCAGCAAATTGCATGTATGTTAGCAGACTGACCTAAAAATATTTGTTTTTATCGATGAACTTGACAACTTCACAGATGGAGATTTTGAAAGACCTCCTTCCAGTAATACAGCTCGATCTTCTTCCTTGGTTGTTGAGAGTTCCAGTTCCGCCAGATTATTATCTGAATGACTGCTGGCACAGAAAAGTAAACCATATAAATAAACACTTCAAAGCTACATTAAATAACAACCGTGGATTAATTTCCATGTACACAAAATAATTACTGTAGCGTTTAAAAGTTAAGATGCCCAAAGAAACTTGTTGTCCTTAATTAAAAATTCAATTCTGGACAGGCATAATAAAAATGCTTCAATTCCACAAAGTTCACTCTTAAAAAAACTAATAAAAAGAACAATACTAGTGGTGACCCCTTGTGGAATGAGATGACACAAGCTAATCCTTGAAAGGGGTTTTACAATTTTGAAGGGAAACATAACTGAGAACCTCAAATGAATCTTAATTATCTAATAGAAGTACTACCACAATGAAGTCAACCTTACCTTATCTAAAGATCTCTAAAGCATCAAAACTAGTGCGGTAGTGCAATGCAGAATTCAAAACCTTACTCCAAGGATACTTGAGGTCTCTCATCGATTTCTAAATAGTGCAATGCATAATTTTAACCCTTCAAGTTCTAACTCCCCCATCATGCCCCTCTGGCAACCATTTGTCGGCCTAAATTTCTTCCGATCCCATATGAATCTTTAAACAAGCCTTGGCTTCTCCAATATCCACCATGCCAATTTAAAACTCTACCAGGAATTCACGAATATTAAATCAAAAGCCCACCTCAGGACATTGCTTGAAATATACAATGTTCTTTTTAAATTTCAACATTGGGAGGTAGTGCGGGAGAGGAGGCGAGGAGGTTGATTATAACTTAATTTCTCGACAAGAGTTTATAATCAATGTAGGAGTCTCACTTGGGATAGATATTTTGGACGATAAAGACAAAGAAAGTCAAAATGCTTTTCAAGCAGGACTAAGCAGGCAGTGTATCATTCTTTTTATGGAGAGAATTGTGAACCAGCAGCTGTAGAAATTGAGAGAGAGAATCTATCGAAAGAAGATGAAGGAAGAAATGACAACTTAGACATGGCGTGTTTGGGCAAGGCTGGATACGGTTGGGAGAGGGGAAAATTGAACTAGTCAATGGAAGGGCTGGAGTTGGGGAGAAGGTGGTAAAAAGCAGCAGTGGCAGGGAAGGCTGGTGATTGGTCTGCTTTTCTTTGCATCTATTTTTCTTCCTTTTGAAAAAAGATAAGTTTGTTGCTTCTACAAAAGCTGGTCCGGACACCACCATTATTCAAGGAAAAAAGTATAGCTACCAAAATAGGTGGCATCATACGAGCTAAATGTGCCAGTTTCCGGAGGCAAATTCAGCCAGGAAAAAAATTATAGAAGGACCTTCAGGTGCAAGCAATTAGACTTGGATAGTTCAACAGACAACTGCCAAAAATCAGAGGTTTTAGACCAGGTTGCACTTCTCTAAATGGATACGGAATGTCATGTGCCTTTTGTCCCTATCCGTTGTCTTCCTACTATCTTCTTAAATGTAGCTTTAATCAATTTTTAAGATTCTTTGTCATCTTGATAATCCATCTTCCCCCCAAAAGCCTGAATCCACCATAGCATTCATATTCCACACACATACTAGTATCAACATTGTTGCTTCTATATTATCCACCAACATTCTGTAGACACTGTATAACATAACATTTGTCAGCATTGTCTAGATGAGACTAGCCGAGGGCCTATTGGAAACAACCTCTCTATCCTCACAAGGTAGGGGTAAGGTCTGCATACACACTACCCTC